GCTTGCTGAGGGTGCACGATCCCACTGTATGTCACTGCTGAAGACATCAAACAGCACTAGTCCCAAGATGGACCCCTGAGGGACACTACTCATCACCAGCCTCCACCTGGACATGAAGCTTTTTCTTGGTTTGTTTTTAGAAACATCATTGAAGCAAAAAGCAATTCTGAAAATATACCTTTTAGTTTCAGCTGGTTTGGGATTTTTAAAGAGTTTTGCTTAAATTAGTAATAAAACTAATCTGCCACTTGCCAACACATTTATTAAAAAGGCTTTCTGTATGCTAATATCTAGTTAAGCTTTATATCTGATCTCGATTCTTAAATCTAAGATTAATATTAATCTTTCTGTGCGACTGAATAAATGAGTTACTGCTTACAGCTGCTGAATCAGGAGTAGTCTTCGTCTTTTTGCGAGTTTGGTGCGAGAAATTCTAGAGAAGGATGAGAAATGAAGAAGCGTAGGAAAGAGAAGGAGCCAGTTTATTGGATCTTCTGTGCTTCAAGTCTGCCCACTATCATGGTTATTTAAAATTTAAGGAGTTTAGTTGAGAAGAGTCCTAGCTCAAAAAAAAAAAAAGTCAATGCTTTTTTGAAGACATTTTGCTGGGCTTCCCAATTCATGATTTCTGCTTCTCTAGTGGGTTGCAGATTTCTTTGAAAAGATATATCTGCCCCAGTTTCTTCATGGAAATGAAATAGGGGATTTTTCTATGAATCTGGGAACTGCTGCTACTATCAGCATAGAAAATAGGACACAACACTGGAGGGGAAGCATGAAACCGAAATCTATTGCTCCCATTGCTACTGTGAGGCTCCAGTTGCCTTTAAGACAAGTGGCACCCAGCAGGCTGAACTTGTGAATCCCTGTCCCTTGAGAAGTGCAATACCGAATGGCTGAAGCTCCGAATCATGTGCTATCTGCTAAAAGGAAGGCATGCGTTTATTAGAGGAATTTCATGCTTTGAACCTTTTATGGGTATTTTCATTGCACTGTGTGCTGCTGCCAGCTATCCTAGAGAAGATGTCATCCTGTGGTGTAAGTTTCTTAAACATTAACACGTGGCTGAAAACCATGACTGGCATAACAAGATCTCCTCCTAATAGAATGAAATCCTATCCATGGGGGAACTGTTTTCAAAGATTAGCTCAAATTTTGGGTGGGTATCACTGATGTGCTCCAGTTTTGATGCTGTTCTCAAATTTATGCTGCTGGTGGACTGTGCCTGTGCACATCAGGATTGTCAGACCTGGGAGTAAGCTGCTCTTCTGCCTGAGCTTATGTCTCCTTGCTGATGCACCTTAGAAAAGGCAGAAAGCTTCCTCTTAGGAGAAATAGGAGCAACTGTTCCCACTCCTCCTCCGAGGTGCTGGTCCACTGGGATGCCTGTGGAGATCTCAAACTCACATAGTGCAGTGATAACGCGATCCTTTGTTAGAATTTCATCTTAATGTATCTTGCAGCCAAATTCCCCCCATAACTGATGTTAAGCATCCTGACAGGCTGCCAGCTGCAGTTTCCTAGCCTTATGTCTGTTTGCAGAAATCAGTTGGCAAGTGGTCGTGGTTATTTTTTTCCTCTTGGAAAGCAAGGGGGTGGGAGGAGCAGAAGGTGTGCAAGTCCGACAGATGTAAATAATGGATACAACTCCAAATGTGCAGAGGAACAGCGCTTTGACTAGGCCAGGTACTGCTTTTCAATAGGAAGAAGCTTTGTAGTTTAGACACTATTAGTGCTAATAATGCTTAGACACTGTTACTGTAACTTTAAAAAGCTGGCAATAATTTAATAATTTAACAAAAAGTTATGATTGTACATTAGTGGTCCTTCTGTATTATTTGGGATTGTCTTTGCTGTTTCAGCAGTTCCCATTTTATCGGTGTTCAAAATGTCTCTAAACAATATCCAATGTATATATTGCAGTACCCAGGAGCTAAAATCTTTTTCTGGTTAAATGCTTTCTTCTCCCCATATACTTGTGCTATTTTGCAATAACCCCACTCTAAGCTACAAATACCGCTTGGATGCAATATCTGCGGCTAGTAAGTAGGAAATGGGTTATTGCCAAACCACACCATTTTCCTCTTTCATGTTTTGGAACTGATTGTCAAAAAATCAGATAGGTGTGGGGCTGCTGCCTCAGTGCAAGGAAATGCCAGAGGAAGGGCTTTTTCCACTGCTAACAATGCACTTGTTAGATGGAGCGAGTCACTTATAAACTCAACCCATTATAATTTTTATAATAATCCAGTTTTGTATGGCTATGAATCCTTTCTCCAATTTGTCAAAATGCAGGAAGGCAAAAACTGAGTTTGTACTTTCTTCCCTTTTGCTATTTCTCTTTTAACAACTTCTGAAATTGGAATCTGGAGCAGGTGAATTGGTAGATGTGGCACAAGGGTTTTTATTAAATTCTATGCCTCTCTCTTGGTCTTTCCTTCCATGTGTGCTGAATACTTCCAGATTTCTCTGAATAACTTAATCTCCTTGGAGAATGAAATATTTGCACCTGATGTCTAAGTTGTTAGACACAAATATTCAAGATTTTCAGTCTGGTCAGTACTGTAGGTTGTTGAGCCACTTCTCCTGAAGACTAAAAATCTGGGCATGTCCTGGTGAACTCCTCTTTCTGTGAACGAAGCCTCAACTTGCTACTGTCTTGTACTGCTTGAGGGATGTGAAGAAGGCTGCTTGCCCCGCAGGCCAGATGCCCGAGCTGTGTTCAGGTTGTATAATGGGGTACATATGGGTAACCTGCTGCAAAAATGACACGTTCAACACCTTTACGACTTAATGCTGAGGAGAGAGGGCTGGTGAATGGTGCTTCTTACAGCCCTACCTAAATTGTTCCTGCAGTTCAGAAAGCGTGTTTCTTATCTTCAATGTTACTGCTTTGAGGAGTGAGATGGGCTGCTCGTCCATCTGCAGGGAGGCCTGATTTTCTGCTGGGAGGAAAGCAGTGCTGTGATCCAGAGCAGTTTTCTCCTGTTCATCGTGGTTTCGCATGGCATAATCCGAAAGTGCTGAAAGCCTCCTTTCCAAAGGAAGAAGGATAATGATAGGAAGCACTAAATGTGCTTAGGACACACAATTTTCTGAAATGTTGTGCTTCTCTAGTAGAAAGGACCAAGTGCTTGACTTGTGCGCGTCGCTCCTGATTTGCTTTGTCAGCTGAGCTACAGGATGTGCGTTTTCCTCTTTTGTTTTTATTTACGCTGAAGTGAAGTATCTTGACCAGACAGAAATATTTCCCCATGATACTTACAAAATTAAGACATGGGGAAAGGAAGCTGTGTTTTTTCTGGGTTTATGTCAGAAGGGATGCCTGGAGGGGGATCGTAACAACCTCCAGTTTTGAGGCTTGATGAATCTCTGTCTTCTGGTATCTTTTTTTTTTCTTTTTTCCTATTATATAGTTTGCTTTTAACAGGAAATAATGATTTTACTGTGAGATTTATGGCAAAAACGATTTGTTTCGCTTTTTTCTTCCCCTGACCTCCAAGAGCAAGAAGGCCCTCGTTGCTGTGGGCAGTGTCTGACGTTGTCAGTAATGCTGTCATAAACTTGGTGGTGGTGGTGTTTCTTTTTGGCTTATTTCCTGATGGTAAAATAAATTAATAAATCCAGCTTGTGTAGGAGCTGAGGTAACTAAACCACATGTCGTGGTGATGGAGGTGAGGGCATAGTCTTGCTTCTTCCAAGATGTGCTAGGGAAATGGATGTCTTTCCTGAAATAAGCTTTCTGCTGCTCGTAATCCTATATGAGCTGGTGGGGAGGGGGTTCTTTCCTTGTGGTCTGTTCTGTGGATTTGGGGCCTGCAAAGCCATGATTGCGCTACCAGTTTTAGAGGCCTTGGTATACACCCACAAATCTGTGATATGCAGCAATGGCATAAAATAAGTATTGATCACTTCTGGTGCACCTGGTTGACCTGACAACTTGAGATATAAATTATAAGGTTTCTATTTATAAGTTCTGTTAGTGTGATGAGTTTTATTTCCAGGAAAGAGAAGCATAGATAAACTTTAAACCTGACCAAACAAGACAGCAAGAAACCCTTACTCTAATATGAATCTTCCTTTAAGATGCTAGAGTGAACTATGTGTGATTTTTATCAGATACTCTCTGCGTCGATTTGAAGAGTTTGTAAGAAAATAGTCACTTTTAATTCCCAAGAGCCTTCTCTACTTTAGATTGGAAGGTAATGTAATAGAAGACAACGAAACGATAATTGGGAATATAACCTTACCCCATGCCACAACTCTGTGTATAAAGCAGCTCTGTTCTTTAAACAGAAACATTGACAATGTTGTCTAATAACATTTTTTTAATGTGTTGCAATTGCAGAGTCAGTACACAGTAAAGACTTTTGTGTCTAAATACTTGAAAATTAAGTTGTTCTTTTTGTTTGTGTTTCTCCCCCCTGCCTGTGCCAGTATGTAACAGGCCCGCTCTGTTTGTGCGTTTCATAGAATCACAGTTCCTCCTGATTACTGAGAATCTCAAAACATCACTGTGCGTATTACTAGTTGTGTGCAGCAGTGACTACTCACATGTGCAATCACTTCTGATTTCCTCTGTCCAAATTGCTTGCTCTATGAAACAGTCCCCTTTACCCAAATTGGAGTTGGAATGTGTCTCGTAGGATAAAATATTAATTGGATTGTTTGCTAGTTAGATGCCTTTCCTTCTTCCCCTTGGAAAAAGCTGTACAGACAATTTTGGACAGGGCAGAGAACAGCAAGTTTGATATTGTGAATCTTCCAGGAAAAAAGTGGTCATCTGTAAGAGCAGTGCAGGAGATTTTTGTCTCATAAAGTTTGCTTTAGTGTTCAGTTTGGAGTTCTAATTTTGGAGATAATAGCTTCCACTGTGCTGAATTGCTCTTCATACATCCAGCCCCTCTCCACCTATTTAACAATGCTATTTAACAAGGAGTCTTCTCTGCAATCATCTAAATGACATGGAAGGCTCACTGGTGTGTTCTTTTCACTTATAGGCTCGTGTTATGTATGATTTTGCTGCTGAGCCTGGAAACAACGAGCTGACCGTCAGTGAAGGGGAGATCATCATTATTACCAACCCGGTAAGAAAAATGACATGGAGATAGGGCTTCAGTGCACTGTCCTGACCTAATTCAACAGGTGAAGGAAAAGATGTGCTAGGTGACTCCGTGAATCCCTGACCACCTTCCACTGAAGAAGTAGCACACAAACTAAAACCAAAGAATTTTCTAACAGTGTTGTGGAAACAAATGCAATGAGCAGGATTCTGGAGGTCAGGGGCCCTCTCAGCTTGTGCCTACATGCTTTGGAATTCTTTGCTCAGCTTTTTTATTCTGCTAAATAGAGCTGAGTGCCAAGGCAGAAAGAGCTAATGATAGTGATACCCTTTATATCTGAGTGTTGTCTTTTTTTTTTTTTTTTTTTTTTGTGCCTAGTGTTCCACATTTTGTGTTTATGTAGTCTTTCACATTTGCCACTTGAATTTAAATAATTCTGACATGCCAGCTCCCTTCAAGTCTTCGCGTTTTTTAATTAATGACTTCAGTATTCCAAGTTTCTTTAAAGAACTTGTCACAAAATTTCTAAATATGTGTTTCTAAATCTGTGCATTCTTCCATAATCAAAGCAATATGCACAAGGTACAGGGAAGGAGTGGGGAAAATATTAGGGTAATGCTACCAAGGAAAATTTCAATTATTCTTAAAGTATGTTTGAGCAGTGCTATTTGATTTATTAATGACAGCATGCTTTTATTCTCCTATATAGTTCTTACAATTGAACAACAGAAGTGTTAGTTGAATCTTCTGAATCTTTAGTGATATGGCTCAATGAATAGGCTTTTTTTTTTTTTGAAACAAAATCCCCTCATCTGCATGCCAGATTTTGTTTATCTGGTTGCACAGGAAATGTACAGATGAAACAAATTTTTGAAAAACCATAATCACGTATTACCCTGATACTTTTTAATTCCACTGACTTTAAATATTTGAAGCAGATATTTAATGGAATCAGCACCCTCTTGAGTAGAATGCTGTACTGTAGCACAGGTAACTTTAAATAATTCAGGAGTTTTATGTTGTTTCACAATAAATAGTTTACAGCTTTTAAATTAGCTTTTCCTGAAAAAGCTGTTTGTGTGATAAGACAATATGCCTAAAACCAAGTAAAAAATTATTTCATGCTGTCAATGATTGAACTGCATCATAAATTGCCACAAAGGTTCTAGAACTTTTTTGATATTCTTTTTTGATACAATAAGTTCATAGAGAGCAATGGAATAAGTCATGAAAATCCATTGTTGAAATACTAATAAGTGCAGTGGTACAAATGTGACTTCTGGCGTAAGATGTCATTACTCCTATAGATCAACCAAACTAGTTGAATTTTTAATCTGAGATATCTAGTTCTTTGTGTTCATAAGTGTAATCTATTAGGTACATAAGAAAAAGCAATTGAAAGTTTGTTATTTCAATAACTGATTGATCTTTACTATTTAAACTCATAAATACATTGGCAGACTTCTTTGTTATGTGCAGTATTATAGAAAATTTCTAAGTAAAAAAAAGAAAATTGTGTATAAACAAATATATCAGTTAAAAAGCAAATTAAAAACCTGAAATTCAGTAATTACTGTCTAGCATATGTAGTTCCAATTCTCAGCTTGACATGTAACTTGAATTAGCTTGACATGTAACTGTTCAAGAAACAGCTGGATTTTATTTTTTTTTTTTTTTAAACAGAACTGGCTTATTCCAGATAACGTCTTGGAATTGACTTTGCTTAACTGCAAAGTTCTGCAAAGGCTTTCTAGTGTATGTAGAATGTGTTTTAAAATTTAAAAAAAAAAAAAAGTCAGTAATAGGTTGCACCACTGAGGTATGAATTGTTAGCTTTTTCCAAACTGATGGTCTGAGACCTGCCTCTGTGGCATGTGTCTCTGAACTTTGAGATTATCCTTAATGTTCTTGTGTTACAGCTGCCTCTCATCACACACCTTTCACGGGTGAAGTCCAGAAATGTTACCAGTAGCTTAATTCCCTGATTCTCCTTTCTTTATAATCTGTTGAATAAAATGAGTGCTTTGGGAACAGCATTCTAATAGCTGTGTTTTGATGATGGCTGTGCACAGAATTGGCTGTGCATAATGCAAAAATGATCGAGTGCTCAAAATTAAACGTTTTTCCATCATGTTTGTTAAACCTGAAGTCGTCAATTGCCATGTGAAACAAGCATTGCCTGTGTTCTGTTTCAATCAGTATCTGCTTATTCAGCAGATTTAAGCGAGCTTGTTCATGGTCATATAGTCAGACCTGTCTACTGAATGTTGCATTCTGCATTTGATAGCAAGCCAGTGCTCCTTTCTGAGTTTAAAGCATGCCGTGGGATCCATCTAGCAAAAGTATTTCCATATTATTATTTTTTTTAGGATGTTGGTGGAGGCTGGTTAGAAGGAAAAAACAGCCAAGGAGAGAGAGGACTTGTTCCAACAGATTATGTTGAGGTAAGTGACTGCATCGCTATGCACTAAGCAGAACTACTGAAGAAGCAATCCTTTGGTTTGCTGATCAGACTCTCAATGCTCAAATGTGAAACATCCAGTGTTAAAGCTCAGAACATATAATATCATTGAAGCAGCTGTAGCTGACTTCAAAGATCAGTGCAAATATGTCATCTAAAGCTACTGTGCTTCGTGGTTTCCCAAGAAATGCAACAGGAGGTTAACCACAGCGAATATCAGTGATATACAGAACATGAGCGATGTTGAGTTTGCTTCTGGTTTTGTGCCCCATGATTTTGTTTTCTTGTCTGAAGACGCAGATGTAGAAGTGCAATGAGTAATACAAATTACGCTGGTGTTGCTGTGGCTGACTTGCCACATGCTCATAAATCTCTAGAATGGAAATGCATTTCTGGGGCTCAGGATATGGGACCCCAAATCCAGGGATTGAGTTCCCAGTCTCCAAGCAGAAATGTTAGCTACCTTGTTAATCCCTTGTTAATTTATAGATAGGTGTCTACTGCCACAAATATGTTATGCTATGATAATGCAAACCAGTTCTCCTTGTCATGGAAATAAATCCTCTAGATTTTCTTCAGTCAACTTCTTCTAAAAGATACTATTGAATTCGAATTCAGGGTATATGCTGTAATCTTAACATCTAGTGTTAGAAGGTTCTATGTAATTGGATCAATGGAAGCATCAAAAAATCTCTTGCAACTTTTTCCATTTCAGATTATAACCGACAGTACAAAAGATGGACTTAGTTGTGGTAACTCATTAGCTGACCAAGCCTTTTTTGATTCCCTCTCTTCAAATACAGCTCAGACCAACTCGGCTGCAAAAAGCAGTAATCAGGTACGTCTCCATTTTTTTTGGCAACAGTAGGCATGGCAGGTTCTGTTGACATAACTGCTTGCACTTCTCCATTGTGCTGTACCATATTTGTGAACCCTCATACAAGTACTAATTAAAATAATTGTGTTTTCCTTAGGGAACACTTCTGTTGAATATTAATGGTTTGTATGTCTCTTCAGTTACTGTCACTGCTGGAAAAAGGAGCATTCTACTACTTTCAAAAATAGAGCATTTTATTTTTTTCCTGTCTGCAACCATTTAAATCCATGACTGCCGCAATTTCTGTACCCCAGTTGTGTGTAAATCACTCTTGGTAACTCGTTAATATGCTTACCTTTTTTAGGAAACTATGCTTTTCCTTTCTTTTCCTTTTCTGTTTTTTTCTTTTTAATTTCTACTGTAATTGGGTGTTCTACGCATCATCAGCCGGTGATGTATATACACCTTGTTCAGTATTTGGGTAAGGTTTGTTTCTTTGATTAAAAAAAGATAAAGTAATTTCAGGCATTAATTCTGGTTTGTTGAAGAAGAGGCTGACTGTTTTTGCTGGAAGACTGTTTTCTTTTCCTTTTCTCCCTTTTTCCTTTATTCATAGTGTTCTGTCCAGTGTCAATTTATCAAGCAGCAAGTATTTAGTTTCATGTTACATATCCAAGGGCAGACATCATCTTAACACAGGCTGTTTGTTATGGTCTACACAGTACTGCATGTCTTACACGTAGGAACAGTTAAACATGTCAAAGTCCATAGGTCAATAGGAGAATGAAATCTCTTTCTATCAGCAGCATGCAAAGGTCTCAGGTGTTAGAAAGTAAATGCTTTAGTCATTGTAGCAGCTGGGAACACACCTAGTTTGTAGAGCACTTAAAAATCAGTTATTAGTTTTCTTAGCTGTAACTTGCACCACAGGACTTTGAGATGAAGTGAGATCTCTTGAAAAGTGTGTGTTGACTGTCATGCAGAAATGCCCCGTGTAACAGTTCACTGACTATATTGCATTTATTTTCTTCTGTGTATTGAGCTAGGCAATGCCAGGAGTAATACAAGTCCTCCCTAACTTTTAAATAAAAGTTTCTAACTGTTCTTCAGTGATCATTTGTAGTTCACCTTGTTGTGACTGTCTAAAATAAAAGGTGGTAGAGTAGGGGGAAGATCCCAGTGGTACTTGTAAGCGCTCTCTGATGACATCCTCCGGGCAAAGTCACGGGAGGAAAAGTTAAAGCAAAGGTATCTGTTTTGTGGGAAATAAAGAATTAATGTGTCTGTGTAATTTTGGAAGATGAATTTTTAGAGGAGGGAAAAGCTTGAAAATGCAGGGATCATAGACTCGGTAGTTTACTGACTCTGTAATACAAACAAATTTGCTGTTTCTTCATAAGATTTGGAAGGGGGTAACTTCAGGTGAACAGCTTGTCTCATCTCTGTCAGTGCATTATTCTTATTTGTCTGATTCCTCTCCATTATTCAAATGCTTCAAGAGACAGTTTGGAGAACCTGTGTACCATGGTGTATTATAATAAAATGATACTGCTAACAGCAATAGGAGAGAGGGGAGTGTGCACCTGGATGCAGGCAAGGTCATGCAAGATGTGGGGGAAACTAATAAATTCTCTTAAGCTAGTATGTTTGGGGTTTCTGTTTTCCTGCTTTTTCATTACAGAAACCATCATGTTGCATGGTCAGGATTTTGTCATGATTTCAGTTTTCTCAAGTTTTTTATTTTAACTGAGTTCAGTAAATTGCTGTGTTTTTTGTTTTTTTATCTATATGTATAGATATAGATATGTTAGAAAAGCAGTAGGTCTTGCTTTTTCAGCTTCTGACATTCATCTGGTAGCCTGTTCCTGTAGTTTATTGGTAATAAGAATTTAATTTGTATACTGAGCAGTTGGCTTCAGCTTTTGGCTATTATGCCTTTCTCCCAGATTAGAGAGCTCTGGAGTACGTGGTATTTTCTCCCTGCGGAAGTTCTATGGTTAATTGCACTCATGATTAAGAAGCTCTATCTGTTTGTTTCTTCATGCAAGAAGTTTCTTCTTCCATGAAAGGCTGCCTTCTGCGATCTTTCTGATCTTGTGACTCATCTGTAAAATGAAGATACTGGAATTTTATGCATTCTTCCTGTGTACATCACATGGCTCAAACCAGAGGTTTAATATCGCTGTTTTGGTATAGAAAAGCCTTATACACTAAAAGATTGCATTGGCTCTTGTAGCATTGCATCAGGAGGTCAGAGTTGTTCATCCACTGTGTCCCAGCTTCTTTTTTAGAGCTGTTGCCTGTAAGAATACAGCCTTCTGCTTTCTGGGTGTAGTTGTTCCTCGATGCATTACTCCACACTCAGTTGTGTTAACATTTGCATTGTTTAATATGAGTTTGTTCAGGCACTCTGGATTCAACTGTTCAGGCACATCTGGATTCAGATGCACAGTTGCAAGCAATTGACTTATTATTTTCAAGTTGATTTAATGAGTCACTGGGTCAATATACAAAGTGCTTCGTCTACAAATGCAATTTGTGTGTTCTGGCTATGAAGAGCACAGAAATATGACAAATTAGTTGCTAATGTAAACAGAATTGATGAAGGAACTGCTACAGTAGTAGAAACTAAAATGTTCATAGGTAACAGTCTTGTGCACTGAATAAGAAATGTCAGCATTCCTAACTGCTGACATTGTGTTACCTGCCACTTTGTGAATGAACAGGGTATTCTTAGGAATTTTCATACTACTGCTGTATTAAAGTCACTTTAACATACATCTAATCATATAACATTCACAGCCCCCCAATTTTAGTAAGGCAAAAAGACATCTTAATTCTTGAAATGCCTACCGTTTTTCTAACAGTAAGGGAAAACATGGACTGTCACACAGCCTTTCAGTACCAAACCTTATTAAAAATAGTAGATTTATCTAAGTTACCATGTTAGCTTATTTGGTTCCCTTTTTTAAGAGACCTGCTTTTATCAAGTAGCAATGCTGTATATGATACTGACCCTTAAATCATGACAGTGTTCCCAAATCTGTTTGGGGGAAAACAAAAACAAACAAACAAACAAACAAACAAAAAAACTTGTTCCCTGGATCTATAGCCATCCCCTTTTGCTTTCCAGGCAAAAAACAGACCTTTGGTTTCCCACTATGGCCCCTTTTTCTTTTTGGTGTTTAAAAAAGCACAACATGTCTGTCTGTCCTTTTCCAAGATGTGCTGTTGTCATTCAGGGAATTATCTCCTGAGAAATAATTAGTAAGCAATACCTAAATGAGCTCCACTGACTTCTTTTTTTCCACTGAGAAATATATAATGTCCACAGTAACATTTTGGTGTTGTGCTATATATGGGTTTGCCACAAACGTGAAGTGACAATAGAAATGGAGCAGAGGTACTTCCTGAAGAGAAGGGAAGAATTTGGCACAACTTGGCAGTTTATTCTTCCCCAGTTAATTCCTGGAGTCAGCAATGTCTCAGCAATAAATGTCTTGGTAGAACTTGCAGCTGCTCCTTAGGGGAGTCTCAAGCAGATAAGAGACTCACACCCAGATAGCCAGAAAGAGGTGAATGTTTCCAAGAATGTTTCTATGTGTAGAAAACACTGGGGGAGATGAAAGCAACCAGAGGAAGCACTAAAGCTACTTATATGCAAACAAGGAAAAAAATTGCTGAATGTGACTATTTTTACTCCTAGAGAAGAAAAGCAGATATGAGATCTTAATGTTACATTTGCCCATCGTGTTTGTGCTTTCATATCTGAAAAGCCTTTGGATAATATTAGTCAACAAAACATAATTTGAGTAACCCCTAGCTGGCAAAGATGGAGGCTGTTAAATGGCTCTCCTACTGTCTTGACCTTGTAGCTCTTACACAAAGGAAATAAAGGAATGAAAAGTTCTTCTTCTGTGTCAACCCACTGTTCCTCTGAGTGATAATTCAGGCTTGCTAATTTTTAGTCATTTGAAACAACCAGTGAGTGAGTATATCAGCACTCTGTTTTTTTGTTAGAATTGCATGTATACATTAAAGAAAGTTACCTGTGAACTTTTCTGGTGTTAAAATAACACTGGTAATAATGGCACTGGAATCAATTTAACTTACTGTAATACATCAAACCTGAAATTTCTCAATGCAGATGAAGAACATGTGGTGTTTTTTTTTCTTTGTGTGCTGAATTGTTTCCAGGGGCTGTAGCAACAATAGATATCCTTTTAGGCACTTTTGTTTAATATTTCTTATTGCAGTTGTGAGCAAAAGTTGTGAACAAAAACAAGCTTGCCATTTTTAAATGGTGTATATCTGACTAAATTACAGTTACGTTGGCCCAAACTAGTTCTCCTTTTTAAGAAGCTAAGCCTTTTTTCTGAGCAGTAGTCTCACTAATGGTATGTAAACAAACCAGCTATATATGTAAGAGCTGTAGATGTGGCTTCACAGTACTTTTAGATATAAAAGCAGTCCTTGTAACTAACCATAAGTTGCGTTTGTAGAGGAGTTTTTTCCCTTTTCTTGACATTGATTTCCTGATCGCTGCCAAGTCTACTTCTGTGTACAGATGACTGTACAGCTCTTTCAGTTCTAGGTAAAACAGGTATTCTGCAAGTTAGCTTTTTTGTGAATTGCTGATTTGTCAGTTAATTCCAGAGTGACCTTGGTGAACCCATGTGTAGTGTGTCTTCAGATATGTTGTAGGCTAACCAACAAGGGCCCAGGAGTAGGTACAGGAAGCAATTAATAGAAACTTCTTGTTCATCTTGTCTTATCCACTGTAAGTGAAACCACTTGGGATGGTTTCTCTCACAGTTGAAGAGTATGAAAATATACGGACTGCCTTAAGTGCAGAAAGTCCTTTCCCTTCAGAATACCGTGGGACTTCTTTATGGGCAGGACAAATCAGCAATAGTAAAAACCATCTAGTTTGGTGTGCAGGAGCTGAGGCAACTCCTAAGTTACTAGATGTGTAGGGCATACATTGTTGAACGTGCATAAGGAGGACACTAAGAAGGCTA